GTGACTTGCCTACTCAAAACATTCAGTTATTTTTATGTGCATTTCAGGGTTCTCTGCAACAAATATAGTATATGGAGTGCTTAGTTGCATAAAGCACTTACGTTGTTCTTAAAGGATGCAAAAGAAAGTTATAGTCCTTAATGACTGTTTACAAATTCTGGTGTATAGATAATAGGGAGCCAATTAAATAGACATTTATTGATCACTTGCTATTAATAGGTGCTAGGAAGGGCAATATGAATAAAGCAAAATTTCTCTCTTCACAATGCTCATGATCTGGTGAAAGAGACAAACCCAAATAGATTTGTATTACAGTGTGATAAAGATAATAATAAATAGATGAATGAGCAAAACAACTCAATAAGCAAGGATATGAAAATTATCAATTCTGCCTGGTGACTCAGAGAATCCTACACAAAAAAGGTAAACTGATGGCTTAGCTTTGAAAGATGGGGAGAATTTTACTTATGTAGGAAAGGAGAAAAGAGGGTATTTCAGCCATTAGAAACACAGGCTAAGTAAGAACAAAGGCAAGAAATAAAGTAATATGTTTAAAATATGATGATTAGGTTGGTATATAGAGAACACAGAGAATGATATGTGATTTGGCCAAAAGACAAAAAAGAGGGATATTTCAACAGAAAAGAGTTACTCAACAACTATATTTCTCAAGCATTTCTAGAGTTTAAGTAGAGACTGAAAGTATTAATAATTGGATTTCATTAGATACGTACAACACACACCTTTTAGCCAGAATTTTTTTCTTCTATGATATTACTAAGAGCATTTTTCTCTATTTTGTGAATTGTTTCATTATAATTATTAAATTATAGAATATGTAGTTGTTATAAAATGCAGGTTATAAAAATAAAAAAATACTATAAATTAAAATCTCACCTACTGTTCGAAGATAATCGGTGTTAACATTTGAGATACCTTTTAGTTCTTGCCCTACTGATAGAAATATGTATAAGAACATGTGTACTCTGTATGTAGTTAAAAAAAATGAAATTCCATTGTACCTTCTACAATCATTTTCAACTTCATAATATGTCATTCAGTTGTTGCTATCACAGATAAAATGCTGCTGCTTAGGCTTCCTATAATCTTTGGATTAGAAATTTTATTGATATCTTCTGTTCTCTGTATTTATCATCATCCCATGCTACATTTTGCTCACTATCTTTTATTTCTTAGTGAACTTTCAATTCAAGAGTTTGATATCCAAAAACATTGATTTACTTGGCTATAGTGTTTATTCTTTTTTGTGACATCCATTGAAGATGTCACTGTGTTTTTAGGCTTGTCGTTTTTTTATTGTCTCAATTTCCCTGTTCATTCAATTCATCTTTTCATTTCTTTATCCATCAGTTCTTATATTTCATTGTAAATCCAACCATACTTTCTATATATTTTATTTTTCCAAATGTATCTTTTATAAAAGTGTTTTCCCTTGGCATAATTATATTATGTTTTAATGTTTCAAGTCCCCTCTTTGTTTGAATTACTAGAAATAGCTATATAGGCAAGACATTTTCCAGGAGATAAATGGAAAATATTTACTTCACTTCCTATGTGATTCAGAATGAAATTTTTCTCTCCATGCACCATTCTGAGTCCATCCAGTATTTATCTATAGCAGATATGGAATATAGAACGTGTGGCTCTAGTTTTATCAGAAATGGGGTTGATGTCTTCCCATCTCATTTTGTTAAGTTGATTTTATAAACTTGATTTTAGTATTTTACATTTATCCTTGTTAAATTTCATCTTGTTTCATTTAGTCTATTTAGAGTATTTCAGCCTTGCTTTTGCTGTCCATTATTTATTCCTCTCAGTTTCCTGTCATCTAAAAATCTGCTCAAAGTGATTTTTTTTTCCAGAAAGTTGGAACTCTGTTTCACATCTTACTAGAATTTTTCCACCTATCACACTTACATTCCTGTAACTATATTCATTTTGAAAACAGACACTGTGTCAATTAAGATACAGTTCTTTAATGTATTTGAGATATACTGTCAGCACCTGAGATATCCACCATTTAGTGCCACTCAGTACACTGTAGAATGAATGACCAGTAGAGTGCAGTCATCATCACTCTGTGTAGTACCCAAAGGTGACAAGGATGGAAACTGGCTTGGGGGGAAAACTTTGCATTGCTTTCTACTCCATATTAAAGAATTTTGTGACCAGTCATAGCATGATATAATCTAAAAAATAAAGGGCACTAACGGACTTCTTATACATTTCTGACAGAAGTGTAAAATGGAACACCTTCTTTAGAACAGTTTTGCAGGATCTAGTAAAGCTACACGTATGTGTTTCTTATTACTTAGCAATAAGAAATTACTTTATTACTTCACTTCTGGGTTCAACCCAAGTGATTTAAGTATGTATGTCCACCAAAAGACATATATACAAGATTGTTTTTATCAGTATTATTCATAATTGCCCCAAATTGAAAAAATTCAACATTCATATGACATCATAAATTCAGACAGTAGAATAGTATATATGAAAAAGAATTAACAATTGGTACATACAGCAACTGGAATTAATCTTACAGACAACGGTATAAAACAACTATAATAGGAAAGATCATATACTATATGGTCTGCTTATGTGAATTTATATTTATGAATTTATGAAATTATGAATTTACGAATTTATATTTCATATAAATATGAAATGTTTGTGAATTTATTATGAATTTATATTTATGAATTCATATATATATGAATTTATATTTTATGATCATATACTATATGGTCTGCTTATATGAATTCATATATGAATTTCTGTTTCAAAACAGAAACTCTTACCAGTCGGTGGGGGGCAACAGGCAGGCGGCACTGGAACAGGAAATATTCTTGATCTTACTACACAAGAAGATACATGTGTATATGTAAAGAGTCATCAAGCTATAGACTATTTATAAATTTTACTACATGTGAGTAGACCTCACTTTAGAAATTAAGAGGCAAAATAAAGATATTTCCAGGCAAATAGAAGGAGGAGTTTATAGTCAGATAGAGCTAGTTATGAATTTTGAAAACAGAATGGGGATCACAATGATTACAAAGCTAATGTGATGATTAGAGATAATAGATGTGAAGTGTCGAGGCAAAGTGTCGCATTTTTATGGGATCAATAATTTGCAGATAGACTTACATCTTCTAGGCCAGCGCTTCTCAAGCTTTTATGTAAGTACAAATCACGTGGACATCTTGTTAAAAGGCAGATTCTGAATCTGTAGGTCTAGGATGAGGCCTCAAATTTCACATTTCTGAAAATCTCCCAGGTAATTCTAATGTTGCTTGTCCATGGGCCATGCTTTGAGAAGCAATGGGGAAGAATGGGGATGAACGGGGTTTATCAGCAGGAGAAGGATATTGTTCAAATTCATACTTTAAAAAGATCTTTCTGCTAGCAATCAATAAAATAGATTATAGGAGAAGAGAATGAAAAATCCAAGAAACAGATAATACATCCCTGGAATGAGGAAAGGTGAACAGAGTATGGAAAGTAGGAAAGGAGAACTATTTTTCAGAATCATCAAGACTTGGCATTTCATTGAACTTTAGAAGTGATGAAAGAAAGTCATCAAAACAGCTTGAGGTTTCTACCTCCAATTATCAGATAAATATGCCTTATTATTTTATCAGATCCTTTTGATTAAAATAAGCTCGGGAGAAAGGGAAGTCACACAAAAAGGTTTTTCCCTATCTGTTTCAAACTAGCAGAGACTGAATCAAGGGGGGATAATATACTGGGTGGTTTTAATATCAAAGAGGAGGCTATAAAAAGAAGGATTATATAAGTTAGCTTTGCTGCAGTAACAAATACCCCCAAAAGTTTCAATGACTTTCAACAACAAAGGCTTATTGTGTCTCTGCTTGCTCCTGCTAGGTTGTTCCACGATTTCATTCCAGTAGAAACAAGAGAGCTAGAGGAAGGATGCAATGGATCTTAAATCTTCTGCTTAAATGCAGTACCTGTCACATTTGTTTCAGTGTCATATTTTAAGCCAAGTCACATGAATAGGCCTGGTGTCAATGAGGTGGGAACATACTCTTGTCCCACAGGGGCCACCGCAGGTCACATGGTCATGGACAGAGAAATATAATCCTCTTACAGGAAGAAGTAGGGGCAAGTGGAACAATAATGCTGTCTACCACAGGGAGGTACTCAGGCAAAGAGCCCACTCTCTGCTGTGTCCCTTTTGTGCCTACAATCAACTATAGCTCTGGAATTTTTTTAGTTCAACAGTTAAATATCCTGTGCACAAAATCTGTCCTAGCATGAGACAAAAATGGAAAGATTTCAATTTTCTCTCTTAATGAGCACTTAAATGTTTTAAGCTCAACAGGGAAGGGTAGGAGGAGAAGCCAAGGGGTGTGGAAGAAAAACCATTACTAGATAATCAGCCTCAGAGTAATCAAAAGTTGGCTGAATTCTCTCCTGACCTCTGCTGTATTTAGCCTGTGTCTTAAGAGAATGGTTGGGCTGTTATGCCACCCAATTCACATGTGTTCGCATTACTCCAGTTTTTAATGCTCTGTTGATGGAACAATGAAAGTACAAGTAGTGTTTTAATTTTCTAGGCATCATCACCATGGGAAATATTTGTATCTTAAAAGGCAGTTAAGATGTATTTAACTCAATACAGCCCAGAAATTATTTTTAAATTTCAAAACTTCTAGGTTGTATCCTCTACCCATATCCCGTGCATTGATAAACAAAATGCTAATTATACCAATCGGTTCAAAAAAAAAGAGATATGACTAAACTATCTGGATATATCTCATAAAATTATTGATAGAAAACTGATGATATGAAAAAATGTTATCTTTGCCCTCCACTTTGGTTCAAAACTCTTCTCTATCTCTTCATGCATGATTAAAGCATGGTTTCTGAAAGTTTTGCTTTTTCAAACCAGGGATAAAGCTATGGTCATGCATATCACATCTCTCCTATTTTTCAATCACTGTTTTTAACAGGACAAGAGAATGATTCAATGAAGAATGAAATAAAAATTGAGACAGAGTCCCAGAGCTCGTATATGGATACAGAAGGTACTGAAACCAGAATATATTGTTATCAGAGAATGAGATGAAACTGTGAACCATGACTTCTATATATACTTGTGTGTGTGTTTTTAGGCAATGATTACTGGAGGATGGCAACAGTGTTCTATTTTGTGTGCCTGTTGAAACCTGGAGGAAAAAAAAAAAAGAACTTAAACTTTCTCTGCTGTAGTCATTGTTCTCTTCTCAATGATTCCAACTAAAATATCCCTGAGTATCCTTCTGTCTCATTCTATTTAGAACTTTCATCAAACCATGAAGATGCCACAATTGTGGATCAACCGGAAGTGATTCCACTAACAGATGACCAAGAAGAAGAAGAAAATGAAAAAGGTAGGACTGCTCTTAAATTAGCCCATCAAGAATAGAGAATTTCTTTGGATTCCTGGCTATAATTCAACTACCAAAGTTATCCCCCTTGCAATTGTAGTTTGTAAAGGGGGGAAATAAAACAATTCTTTTATCCTTAACCTACTTTTGAAACTAGAGTAAAATCTAGCAACAGAAGATACTTGGAATACTTTTTTTTCCCTTCCAAATACCTGTAGCATGAAGATACTTTTGTTACTCATCTAGATTCAATTTAAAGGTTAAAAATTACAGTATTGAGACAGCCTATAAGACATAGAAATTATGGACTAGATGGATAAAGGTCATAGACAATCTGAAATGGCTTTAAAACAAACAGATTGACCCTTTTGTATTGATTTCATTCTATCTTCCTTTATATGGTAGTGATCAAAGGAGCAATTAAGGTAAAATATGCACATTATATAAACCTTCTAGATTGCAAGTTTCATCTGCTAATATTAGGATACAATAATATTGAATATTGTTTAAAAAATAAGTGAGCATAATAATGATTTCTGAAGACATAGGAATGAACAGTTCATAAATATTAAAGCAGCATCAGGGACAAGAAGCCAATATATTGAAGATAAAAATAGTTTTTAAAAATTTAAAAACTATGATCAGAGAAATTTTGTGTTAATTGAAGAACTTAAAGAATCCAATTTTTTAATATAAAGCAATCTCTTAAAAGAAGTTCATAGAATAATTTTCTGTTACAGTATGATTTATACTGCTCTTAAATACATATGTATTTACAAAATAGTTTCAGGGTAATAGCTTGGCAAACCTTGTTTATAGAACACAATGATCAATTTTGTTTTCAAATTATAACACAGACATGATCTCAATTGTAAAATCAGGTCAATAACAACTACAGCTTCCAAATTATGAACTCTTCCCGGCAGGGGCATTGACACAGTTTAATTGCTAAACCATGTTAGTGATTCTGACACTTTTTAAAAAATTTCTACTACATTTGTAGCAAAATAGTCTTCCACTTCGATGCCTCTAATAACCTTTTCTCTCTTGCAAATCTTACTTGAGACACATGATGCCATGTTCCTGTCAAGCCAAATAAAGGGTCTATTTGAAGTATTTTATGTCTGGCAATGATAGTCGAGATTGATATAACCCATGCTCACAGTCAGATAGATGGCTTTGCTGTCTTCACTTGTAGTTCTAAAATGGAAATTATATAGTGCTATGCATGTTAGCTTAGTTTCTCTATAGCAGAAATTATTTGCTTTGTATATTGTGCCTCAAGGAATGCAAATGGGTAAAGGAACATTGAACTGGTACATTTTCCTCTTTTTAGCTTGACCTGTAAGAGAAAAACTCCCATTCAGTGCACATGGACATGCTTCCCTTCTCCCAGTGGATTCCCTAGCACTGAACACTTCTCTACTGAAGGGTTAAATACCTGCTTTTCCTCTATTCTTTTTAGGTATGCCAATCCTTTCTGCAAATGGTAGAATGGCATGTGGGAAAGAAGTGAGGTCAAATTCTGCAACTTGCATGTAGCAACTTTGCAGTTGAATTTTTTTTTTTTTTCATTAAAATGTGACTTTTCAAATGTGAGAAAACAATACTGGTGCCTTGAATTAAGCACATTTTCTCTATCTTTATCATAGATAGTTCACTTGGCCCTGCCTTGAATATTTTGTTGTTTAAATTTGAAATAACTTCAAATGCATCACCTTTGTCATCTTATTCTTTGCATCAAAGTAAAAGTTAAAAGCTATTCTGACTCCAGAGGCTGAGGCAAGAGGATTGCTTGAGCCCAGGAATTCGAGACTGGAGTGCACCATGATCATGCAACCCTGTCTCTAAAAAGAAGAAAAGGAAAAAGAAAAAAAAAATGTTTAAGCTATTCTACTACATATAAGAAAAATGCCCAAGGTATTAAGAATTATCTGTAAGCAAAACCAAATGTGCATTCTATTACATTGGTATAGATATTCATTATAGCTTCAAAAATATCAATTCTCTTTTATTGTGAAAATCTTTGTAAGGAGGAAAAAAAGAGGTTCATTTAAAAAAAAATCCAGACCAGTAAAAAATGTGTCATCGTTTTCTCTCATTTTGTAGCATTTTATAAGATTAGAAAATGTAGATAATCTTCAGGATACATCTTCTATGGCTCCCAGGTGTATGGGCACAGATGTTGCAACATTAAGTTTTGAAGTTCTACCAAAATATGGATTTTGAAAAGAAGGAAAAATATTCAGCAGAAGTTCATGCTGATAAAATTACACAATAGCACAATGGACATGTCCCTGGGAGACCTGAAATACAAAAATTTCAACAGGCATAAAGCGAGGTTTCACATATGGCAGTTTTTCTCATACAGCCACACTGCCTCTTCCTAAATGAGTCCAGTTTTATGCTTTCCCAGCAGGACTTGCAGCACATGTGAAATCCAGTGCAATAACATCAGTTAGGTTAATAACCAAACAGGAAAGTAGTATTGTTGGAGAGCTCCTCTAAAAAATGATCTCATTTTTCTTAGATGTTTTATTTCTAATTGAATTTAGAAATATTTGACATAAAATCTTAACTGTATCCACATTGTAGTACATGACAAACATTGGTGTTTTATTATTACTATATATTATATGCAAAGTTACACAAAATGCATATATTTGGTCCCAATTATTTTTCTTATATCAGTAAGTATGGTATGGAATAGTCATCCTTTATTTGTTTACCTAAGGTTGAACAAAATGTTGGTGGAGACTTAAGGTGTATTATGGTCTAATGTTTTTTTAGAGAAAGATGCATGGACAGGCATGCAAGTAAGGAGTAAAGTGCAAGCCAGCAACAAGTATAAATCACTGTAATTCCCTAGGCTTATGTTGTAGTTCCTGATCAGCATGACCTTGAGACAAATTGTACAGAGAGCTACAGCTTTCCTGGCAATTCTTTAGCTTCTAAGAATCCCAGTTTCTAGGGTATTTATGAGGAGCGTGAATTCAAAATTGCAATTATGAGGTTCTCCAATTTTATCAATTTTCTCTGAGAAGGCCAACTCCGAAGAACCACACTTTTGATGAACTAAAGGTGATGGCATGGTAGCCAGTGGCCAGCAATACTGAAAGCTGAAATCATAGGTTTTGCCCAGTTTCATGTATTGCATTCTATTTGATAAAAATCCCAAAGTGCCTGGGATCAGGCAAAAAGATCAGCCAAATTAACTGTGTTTTATATTAGGACTTACCAATAATTGGACAGCTAATTATTCCATGAAAATACCATAAATGGGTAAGGAGGAGGAATGCCTCATAGTTCAAAGTAGGTTTTCACACAGACTGCTCAGAACTGGCCTGGATTTCCATCTCTGTCTTTCTTAGTCCATGTAGAAAACATCTTTCTTGCAGTTCCTCTGGCAACTGTTTCATCTTTCAGTGAACACATAATAAGTGAGCCGCTTTCTCTTCTGCTCCTACCAATCAAATCCATTAGGGATTTATCTTGTCTACAAAGCACCACTACACAGCCCCTGGTGTTTTCCATTATTCATAGGCTTCTTACATTGCTGACAGGGCCCCTTCCCTTTCTCCTTGAAAAGCAGACCCATGCTAGCAATGGAGCCAGACAGAGAATCTCTAACATTTGGGCTTTCACATCTAGCCTGTGTTCTTCGCTACAGAGAATCATAGTTCAGGCATATTTTTGATTCATGCAAAATATTATATGAACTTGCATGTTGAATAATAAGCTAACTTACTGGAACTTTCCACTTTCAGAAAGTCTTTGTATGTCATCTTTTCGAATGAAGTCAACTTTGGTAATACTGTATTTTTCACATTAACAGCACTATTATTTAGTTTTAGGTTAGTTTTATTTTCATCCATCTATTTACATATGTATTTATCATGTATATAGTCATATGCTGCATAATGCCCACATATACAACATATGTTGTATATATTGTACATATACAATCTTATGGTTCCATAAGATTATAATACCATATTTTTACTGTACTTTTTCTATGTTTAGATGTGTTTAGACACACAAATACTTAGCATTGTGTTACAATTGCCTACACTATTCAACACAGTAAACATGCTGTACAGGTTTGTAGCCTAGGAGCAATAGGCCATAACATATAGACTAAGTGTGTAAGTAGACTATACTTCTAGGCTTGTGTACACTCCATGTACGTAAGTTTGTGTAAGTACACAAATTTTTGTGTGAGTACACTCTGTGATGTTCATACAGTAACAAAATCACCTAATGATGTGTTTCATAGAATGTATCACTATCTTCCACAGACTCAGTAAAAAGGAAAAAAAAAATTAAAAAGAATGTATCACTATTGTTAAGCAATGCGTGAGTATATACAGGTTATGGATTATGTATATACAGGTATACATGTGGATTATGGTTATATTTACATATCCATAGTACACACAACATTCAGAAGTAGTGAATATATCCATACAAACACACACAATTGAGGAGCACTGAAATTTTCAGAACTTGTTAATATACAGGACATGGAAATGTATCCTTTCTTCTCACCATATAAAATTCATCAAATCTCATGTTCATTACTGTAAGTTTCCTCCAAGTTAACTTCTACCTCTACAGAGGTGTAAAGTAGCCTAGGGAATAGAGAGAGTCAGTCAAAGGAATAACCACCTCATAGGATCAGATAATCCCACAGAGTATGTTGGGCAACACTCAGCCTTTCACTAACGAACATGACCCAGGAATCTTTTTCTTCCAACATCAAGTATTAGATAATTTTTCTTGACAGTATACTAAAGATAAAACTGCCATTTTTGCCCCTTTTTCTACCTCACTGTATTCATGATTGTTAACTGACACATTTAACAGGCAGTGATAAAATACTAAGGGAGTATTGGTGTAGGGCAGTAGCCTCTATTTACATCTGAGAGTATATCTAATAGCTTGCCTGCTGTCATTTTGTGCCAGGGACACATACAGATGTAGATGTACTTCTACTAAGATGC